AATACAAATGCATCACTAGGGTCAAAAGTCATTGTTGAAGAAGAGCAAGAAGGAAATTGACTTTTTCAAATCTTGATTTTTATGATAGGTTCCCCCGTCTCCAGATTTGGGAAGTGGCATGTGACAATCTATATTTTATTCACACTTTTGCTTATTGATAAATAAATTTATGATCTTGAGTTGAAATAAGTGCATGTATTATTCTGCCGTTCAACAAGTTGTTTAAACGTTGACAAAATTTTGAACAGTTTCATGGCAACAAGGTTCCCCCAACACCACCAACCTGGAAATATCATTGTCACTAGAAATTACCTCAATGAATTCTTGAAGCTTTCATAAAATTAAGTCGGGGGAGAAACACATGCAAAAAAATAAATAAATAAATTTTTACAAAGATTTTCTAATAAAAATATTCAAAAATAATTTCATTCATTTGTGAATAAGTCCAAAAAATTTCATTAAACTCCGAGAATTATTTGATTTTTGCAATAATTTCCAAATTAATGTCTGTCACTGCAAAAAAAAGAGGCTAAAATTTGCTATGCTGAAAGTTAGTACAACCGCTGATGCAAGAAAAACAATTTTTTTAATCAAAATTTCGAATGTTCTAAAAAGGAGAAAAAAAATTTAATTAAATAATCAAAAAATGCTTGAATCCTTCCTCTTAATAATAAAGATTTTGACGATAAAACTGTTTTCATTACATTTGGAACAAGTTTTCATTACGCTTTCATCACGGTATGCTGATTTTTTATCAACCTCGTGGCAGTACTTAGCTTAGTATATCACAAAATCAAATCGAGGAATGAAAACTGTGTTGCGCCAATCTTCCACGTGAGGAGGGAACGCCTGCCTTGAAAATCATCCTTCTTAATATTCAACTTTACCTGAACTTAATACTTACTAAGCTTAGTTTAATATATCACAAGAGCAAATGGAAGTAGGACGATTGTGTTGCGCCAATCTTCCAAATGAGGAGAGCATGTCTGCCTGGAAAATCATTCTTCTTAATCTTCACCTTTACCTGAACTTAGTACTTACTAAGCTTAGTTTAGTATATCACAAGAGCAAATAGAGGTAGGAAGATTGTGTTGCGCCTATCTTCCAAGTGAGAAGGGAACGCCTGCCTTGAAAATCATCCTTCTTAATATTCAACTTTACCTGAACTTAGTACTTACTAAGCTTAGTTTAGTATATCACAAGGACAAATGGAGGTAGGAAGATTGTGTTGCGCCAATCTTCCAAGTGAGGATGACCTGCTTTGAAATTCATCACTCTTAAACCTGGCCCTTACCCGAGGACAGTACTTACTAAGCTTAGTATCGCTCATGTCCAAATAAAGGTTAAGAAGAATATGTTATACTAATATTACAATTGGGTATGACCTACTTGCCTTGAAAATCATCCATTTTAGACTTCATTGTATTTAAATCTTATCAGCTCAAATTATATACCTTTTGTTAGTGTGAGCCAATTTGATATTTCTCGAGAATGTTTATACATAATCTTCAACAGGTTTCAATAAGCCCACTCAATCTATCTTTTTTCTTTTCTTTCACCCGTGTTATTGCATAAAATGGGCGGTTCTAACAAAATATATTAGAAGAAAACAAAAGTAATGACTCAATATGTTTAAGATTTCTACTTCATGACAGAGTTGGGTGTTGGAACATAGATACAAAACCAGAATTAAGAAAGACGATTTTCAATAGATGTAGGCCCTCCCCACTTGGAAGACTGGCACAACACAATCTTACTACCCACAATTACACTTCTGCTATATTAAACTAAGCTTAGTAAATATTAGGTCCAAATAAAGCCAGGAATAAGAACGATAATTTTTAAGTAAGACAGGCCCTCTACACATGGAAGATTGGCGCAACACCTTCTTACCTTCATTTAGCTTTGTGCTATACTACAACAATCTTCGCTAATTCTTAAACTGGGTAAAAGTTGAGACTAGGAAGGATGATTTTCAAGGCTGGCATGACCTCCCAGTTTGGAAGTTTGGTGCAACACAATCTTCTTTCCTAAGTAAGGTTACTGTAGTTTTGTATTTATATTTAAATAGAGACAGGTTTTAAAATCCGTATAAAGTCGGGTGTTTGTCCGTTGTTTTAATTTGCAAAACGTTTTCTTTTCTGTTCCTTTTTCTGTGGCTATGCTTAGATGCCATTGTCGGTTTTACAGACAATATGGCGATCCTCTGGCAGCTCTATATCGCTACTCCCACGGAAAGGACTTAGACAAACTTCATTCTCTAGTCCCGCCGAATCAAACCTTCACTGCAAGGACCCACCATGCAACTTACATTGAAGCAAACCACCCACATTCCGTCCATGATCCATTGGTGAGAAGTAAGTTCCACCCAAACAGTTTCTTCACACAAACCACTGCCTTATGGAACAGACTCCCAAGAGGATGTTTCCCCAATCATTACAATCTTAACCTGTTCAAGTCTAGAGTTAACCATTATCTTTTACTCCTGTACACAAAAATGGTCTCCTAACATAAGTCTCTATGTCGAGTCTCCGCCGGGCCTTGTAATGGGTGAACCATACTGTAAAATAAATTTCAAAATAAAATTGCCAATAAGAGTTTTACATAAACTGAAAAACAAATAAAAAGTGATGCCGAAGCTCATTTTAGCATATTTTTTTAATCATTTCACCCCATGGAAGACAGTATAGCCACTCTAGATACAAGGTGTGAAAGAATAAGAAAAAAGTGAACTATTATTAAGGAGCGAGAACAATAGATAAGTAATCAAGAGGACAGTAGATAACGATTGACATTGCATTTAAATTTTTCAAGATGAAAGATGACTGGAAAGCATGGAGCCGCAAGAGAGTTCCACAAGCGAGAAAAGAAGCTGTTAGCATTAAACTTACGGTTCTATCTCGCCAATTAAACTCTGAATTGATGAAACCTTACTGCCAATCTAGTAATGTACTTAAATTCATAAAATCTGGTTATCATAGAGAAAATTCCATCCGAATAATGATCATTAAAAATATTTATAGAAAAGTCACAGGCAAATTACATCATGGCGGTGGGAAAGTGACTGAAATCGAGACACCAGGTCAGAACCAATAATATTGCTGAAGAAAAACAAGAAAAAATCTTGATAATAGATATTCTGTTTTTCAATTCAGACATCTTAAGTCAATTATTGCGATTATATACAATTATTGCGATAGAAAACAAACAATATATTTAAAATAACGAACAGACTATTTTGCTGGTCCCAGTAAAATAGACACCAAGGCTATTTTACCGGTAAAAATAAATAATGTTTTAGAACTAAGAATATATTATATATATTTATATATCTCTATATATAAAGTTGTAGCCTCTGTCAGTTTGTTTGTTATCGAACTCTTACTAGGATTTTGGAGATAGACCCTCATAACCATATATATATATATATATATATATATATATATATATATATATATATATATATATATTCTGAAACTACATTAGCCAGGGTACTTGGATAAGTATATTTCATTTTAATCAAAGGGGGTCCCGGTGGAAAAATCCCCCAATTAATTTTTCTCCCTTTGATTTAAATTAAATTTAAATTTGACCAAGGGAATGACTCCTATTCAAAATATAGAAGGAGAAAGCCAGAAGATGGAGGTCACATCGACAAGATCAAAATGAGACAATATGGACGTCAAATTGAGCAAGAAATCACCAATCAGTGGGTAGTGCCTTATAATTCATATTTGTTGCGGCAATTCAACTGTCATATCATTGTTGAAATCTGCTCATCAGTTCATTCAATCAAGTATTGTATCAAATATATATCAAAGATATAGATCAAGTTGTTTTTGCGCACACCCTCCCACTGGAGGTCCCATCGGCAAGATCATTGAGTAATATTGAAATGCATCATTTTTCTCCATAAATGACAACAATGATTTAAAATCAATCATCATTTTCTTACAAAAAATCTGTGACACGCAGCAAAGCGCAGGTAATTCGGCTAGTATATATAAATCAATAGTTGATAAGCCAACTTCATCCATTAAGAAATCATCTAGTGACAAGGATCTGTATATACTTGGCTAAATTGTCAGGGATCAAGCTGCCATTCGTACTATGGGTGAAAAACATTTCTCTGAAGATACTGTGGAAAAAAACACTTCTGCAATGCCAACAACAGGTCTAGATGAAAATGTGTCTCTCTAGAAAAATCCGCAGATAGTTGGCAAGCTGTGCAATATGTTTATGGAGCATTGAGATCATTAGTAAAATGGCGGTGTGAGTTGTGTAGGCAGGACTTGAACAACATGGATTCTGTGATCTGTGACTATTGTCTTCAGTGGCTGCACCTGAAGTATATTGGCAAGAGAACAATACCCAAGCGTAAGTTTTGGGATTTGCAGGGACTTTATTCCTGAAGTGTTTAAAATATTCAAAGACTTCCATATTTCTTTTAATAATAGATGATGAATAAATGATTTTAATTTGTGTTTTAACAATTGGTGCTGGGAAAAAGTTTTAATTATCTTAAAAACTGAAGGTAAAAATGAATAAACTTCTGTGTAGCTATTTTTAACATTACCTGCCTTCACAATAATAAAAATATTTACCGCCAAAATAGCCTGGGTGTCTATTTTACCGAGTCTGGTAAAATGAGCTTAAGAGCATGTTTATTTATTTTACCGGGACCGGCAAAATAGCCTCCTCACCAAACACACACACAGACTTCTCTCAAAAACGTTAGATGGTTTCCATTTTTTATTTTCTCGTTGAATTTTTTCTTTACGGTATTATAATTCTTTTGGATTAGCATTCTCGTCTTTTGCTGTTTTTATTACAACTTTTCTGAAGAAATTTATTTATTTTTGACATAAGTAGGAAAATATTTCTCCTGAGAACATCAAACACCAATCAAAATATAGTAACCAAAACAACAAGGGTAAAGATCTTAGTTCAAATAATAAAGTTTATAAAATAACAAACAACATGGCTGATTATCTGCCCCATTATTTTTGTGCAAGGGAAGAGAAAAGAGGACAATAGATAAGAAGGGGGGGCAGAGAGAGAGGGAAGAGAGAAGAGTAAGGAAAGGGAGAAGAAGAGACGAAGAGAAGAGAAAACAAATGAAAAGAGGAGTAAAGGGAGGAAAAGGAAGAGAAAAACGAAAACGGAGGAAAGAGTGGAAAGAGAGGGGAAGAGAGAGGAAAGGGAGAAGAGAGAGGAAAGGGAGAAGAGAGAGGAAAGGGAGGAGAAGAGAGAGGAAAGGGAGAAGAGAGAAGAAAAAATGAGAGAAAAAAGAGCAAAAGGGGGAGAATTGTGTGTATGTCTGTAACATTTTTTATGACATATTCAATTAGTCAATCCGGACTAATTCAGCTCTGTAAAACTCAGCCTGCAGCCACATGGTGTCCGAAAATGGAGCGGCCAAGTATACAACATAGAAACGAGGATGTCCCAACAGTTGCAGTTAAAGCAACCGAAAACTGAATCCTTCTTTAACCTGAAGATGAATATATTCCGACATGGCAACAAAAATGAGAAGTTAACCGAACGAACTTTATTGCCACCAGTTAAATCCTTACAAAAACAACTTTTTTTTTTTTGCAAGGATTTTTAAACCCAATTTTCTATCTTCCTTTTTTTTTTCCTCTTTCTGATATAAAGCCTTTCTTTTTTTCCACTCAAGTTACGTATTGTCCTGTTTTCTCTCACCGTGCCGCGTCAATGTTCTTTTTACCCTTATTTTCTACACAGGACAAATTATTGGTCACATAAATTCAAAGGCTATAAAAACCCGCATATGGGAGAGTAGACGAAATCAAGATTTATTTATCTCTTTCTAAGCAACCCCATTCGTACATACATTTCTATCAGTTTAGCAACTTCATGAGAATTGGCATCAAAATAAATATATGACTACAAACAGATATTAGAAACGCATTTTCGAACATTATAAATAATAATAAATATTCAAAAGAGGAATTTTTTTCTTACATCAACAACATATCTAAACTTGTAAACGTTTTAAAATCGTTATTCAATAATATTTGTTGCTCGTTATATAAATAATTTCCCGTTCTTTGGCGATTCAACGACCTATTCCTGTTTTCTCCCCACAAGTAAAAGCAAACACTAGTAAAAAGTTTATATAAAATACTGGGTGTGTTCTCAAACGCCTCTTTTTGAAAACTAGAAAAATAATTGCACAGTATGCTTTTATAAAGATTCGAATAAACTCATTGAAGGAATCCCTGATAGTTCATGCTTTAAAGAAATACAAAAAATTGTACTCACAAGTAAAGCCCATAACTTATGAAGGGCTTTATCTACGTAAAATAGTATGCGATATTTTTTTCTTTTCAAAACTGCGCAATGGAAAATGACATGATGCCATTTCTGACCCTAGGTCTTTGGTCGGGACCCGGAAAGAAATGAATATACAATAGAAATCAAAGTAAATAAAATAATAATAATAATAAACTGGAAACTTTTTTGCGCACCAAATACAAATTATTAGAAGTTTTGATAATTGGAACAATGGGCGTGAATAGATGTTGTACAGAATTTCGTCTCTATTCTTAGTGAGCTGGTGTGCACACGCACGCACACACACACACACACACACACACATATATATATATATATATATATATGACAACTGCCACTTCTTGACAGAAGGTCATCTCTTCAACATTGAACTGAGTGGGCATGCGCCCGAAGGTGACTTTGCAAACAACACTCGTTTTTCCATACCTGACTTACGAAAGACTTACTTTTTAGACAATCTAATATTTATTTTTCAATTTGTCATTCAATTTTTCACCCAATATTATTCTTCATATATAAAAGTTTATATATCGTTATTTCATATATATATATATATATATATATATATATATATATATATAAAAGTAAAAGACAATAGGAAAACTGTTGTTTTAGTCGACGCGTTTCGTCCAATGTGGACTTTTTCAAGGTAAAAACGAAATGAATTTCTCGAAAACAAAGTAACTATTAACAATAAACAACATGTCCTTAGCAACTAGAAGAATTTAGAAAACGCTATTGTATTGATATTGTCAACTGAAAATTGCGTCAATATCAATACAATAGCGTTTCATAAAAGCGTGGAAACAGTTCTTTTTAGAGGCATTTTAGATCATTATTACAGTATTCGTAACACATTCTATTCAATGTCGGCTTCAATTTTTTAATGTAGATTGCTTCGAGGATCTGTAGTTTGGATTGGTTATTTTTTTGGTGTAGGATAGTTGTGTTGAAACCTGGCAAGTCATTCTGAGTGGATAATATTCCCTATGAGCTGATAAAAAATGGAGGTGAAGGAACCATCAAAGCCATAACAACACTATGACAAAATTTGGAAACAAAAATAGTGACCTAACAAGTGGACTCAGTCATTGGTAAAACCCCTGCCAAAAAGAGGAAGCCTCAGGTAGTGCCGAAATTATAGGACAATAAGCCTGATCTGTCATCCTAGTAAAGTCCTGCTCCGTATAATTTTGAATCGTTTGAAATCCAAAACTGAAGAACTTCTATCAGAGGAACATGCAGGTTTTAGAACCGGACGAAGTACAATAAAACAGGTCTTCATTTGTAGGATCCTCGTAGAAAAATACCTACAAAATCAGAAGGACATGTTCCACAACTTTGTTGATTTCAAGAAAGCTTTTGATCGTGTATGGCATTACGGTCTTTGGCAAATCCTTAGGGAATTCAATGTAGATAACGGAATTATCCAAGTCATCCAGACAATATATAAAGATGTATAGGATGCAAATCCTATATTCCAACAAATGACTAAAAAAACACAAAGTAGATTTGCACACCCGCAAAATCGGATCAGAACGACCAAAAACAGATTTCACAATAAGGTGTGAAATTAATTTTCTGACCAATGGAAGGAGGCGATTTGCTGAACAAAAAAAAAGATAACGAGCCAGTGTGAAAAAAAAGTCAACAATAAATACGTAGTTTTCAAGTCAGTCGTCAGTCAGTCAGTCAGAGAAGGGCGCAAAAGATCACAGAAGATTGACAGTAAATTCCATCACTGACTCAACCCGAAAAGTGGAGTAGGAAGGAACAACAACAACAACAACAACAAATTTACAACTGGCTTCAAAACAATTCATAAGTACATTTTCCTTTCATCTTTATTCCTCATTCACACCTTCTTTTTCAACTTAAATTGCTCGCCCCTTTTTCATTTTACAACTATACAAAAACAAAAGAAACAGACATTATTCTGCTACTCTGTTAAAAGACAGCGAACACAGACATTTTTATCAAAATCACATTTTTGCTTAAACGAACTAAAACATTAATCTTTTTTACCCTATTCACAAGATAATAAATATACAATGTTCAATGTTTTATAAACGTTCCTTATCGTGTTGTTGCTTCTTGAGATTTGCGTTGTATTTTGTGGGAAGGGTATCCCGTATTAAATTCTCCTTTAATCCGGGTACGCTGAACCCCACAGATGCCATCAGTGCAGTTCTTCTGGGAAAACAAATAGGAGGATTCTTCCGGACAACTGTTGAAGTGAGACAGGGATGTGTACGTTCATCCACATTTTTCAACATTTTTCTAGAGAGAATCATGCAAGAAACCTTGAACGACCATAATCCTTCAATCACTATCGGAGGCAGACCCGTCTGTAACTTACGTTTTGCAGACGACTGACCTCATAACAATTAGTAACAGTGAGCTCCAGGACTTGACCAACAAATTTTTTGAAAGAGCAAGTATACAATAGCGTTTCTAAATTCTTTTAGTTGGTAACGACATTTTGTTTGTTGTTTATAGATACTTTGTTTCAATAAATTCATTTCGTTTTCTGCCTTGAAAAATTCTACATAGGACGAAATGCGTCGGCTAAAACGATTGTCTTTTTCTACACATACATATACTCTTTTTCTACACGTTAATTCTGAGAAGTTTTTTCACACACACACACACATATATATATATAATTACTTTAAACGTTATTTTTAGTAGATATTCGTATTTAAGGAGAGGCTCTGTTTATTTATTAAGCAGAATATTTATTTCTTATTATCTTCTATCCTGAATGTTCAAGAAATCATATATATATATATATATATATATATTATATATATATATATATATATATAAAATACCAAATTGTAATTGGTAGGGATTATTACAAAAAGGACTTTTAGTCCATATGACAACACAATGTCTGATACAGAGAAAACTTTTTTAGGTCAATTTATTTTTGCTATTGGTTCATCTTGGATATTTTTGAATTATTTTTTTTTTTTTATTTTATCTTTTCTACTTCTTATTTTTTATGTTTGTATATCTGTCTGTCTGGATATATTGATTCTATTTCATAAAATGGAGTCAGTCTGATGAGATGAATATTTATTACTGACAAAGGAATTTTAAGTTTTTCTTATTTATTATATATATATATATATATATATATATATATATATATATATATATATATATATGAATAAATATAGTTTTAAGGTGGGCTATATTTACGGGATAAAGTGCTCAATATCTGAGATAGAGTGTATGTAAATATAAATATAAAAGTGAATATTGAAGTCAACATTCAGAGGCGTCAGGTTGTTTCATGTTAGACGCAATCGTCAGGCCGCAAGTGTTGGATTTTTCCACGACTATCTATATATATAGGTCAGTGGTGCGTTGTGAGTAATTCTAATAATTCATTCTGGCGGTTATTTTAATGGGAGTGGCTTGTTTATTTATTTGGGTTAATTTATTTTACTTGTTTTTTATTTTATATATTTATTTATTTCGGATTTCTATGTTTTATTAACGTGGTAAAAAATTTAGGGAGATTTGCTTAGGTCGCTTATTATACTTATTTATGTTTATTTTTATTACTTCTAACGGTTATTTTAGCGGGAGCGATTTGTAAACAACACACATACACATAATTATATACAAGGTGCGATGGATAAATTGTCGTCTAAATTATGCAAAAAGAAAAATTAAAATAACACTGACATCTCATTTTAACAGATATATTTACCAAAATTACTCAAAAATATCTTAAAATACTAAAGAGTAAATTTATTGAATAAAATCGCCATTGGCTTCAACAACTGCCTCCAGACAACTTCGGAATCTCCTGCAACTCTCCTGGGCATTATCTTTAAGTTGGTGAATACTGTCATAATCCTTGTCTTCAGTTAATCTTTGGTGTTACAAGAAGTTTTGTTGGTCCCTTGCTCGACTGTGCCACAAACATAGTAATAAAGGGGGGTTGCAGTTTGGGGAGTTAGGTGGCCAGATGTAAGGAGTGATGTGGTCACATAAATTGTCTGACAGCCATAACAGAGTTCACCTGCTTGTGTGGCATGGTGCAGTTCTATTGCACGGCATAAGGTCTTCCATCATCCACCCGCTTGAACCAGAGCAACACTACCCACCCAGGCACTTGATGTAGGCATCCGTGTTGAATCTGAAGCCCTGTGGGAAAATGAATGGAGGGATAACAATGACATCACTAGTTATCACCCCAAACACCATGATGTTGACTGAATATATCATCCAACTCTTTCCGAATCCTCAGATTGACACACAAGCACTGTGTTCATACTGGAGCTTTCGGCACGAATGCCAAGCAGTACAGCATGCTGTTTCCTAATTTTCTAGTGGAATGAATTGCGTCATGCTCTTTTTATAACAGCTGGTACCCAACTGACCCTACCATACTGTGCAGTCGACAAAATCAAAAAGAAACAACGCGCATGCGCGAAATTAAAAATATAAAATGTGCGACAATTTACCCATGGCACCCTGTATATATTAAAGAAAAACAAAAACCGTTGGTAGAACCATACCAAAACCTAAAACTCTTATCCAGATATAGTCGCAAATAAAACCGACAAAACTGAAAAAAAGAAAGAAAGAAAAATGTCTAAAAGTAAATTTACCTACTCAGTAATATAAAGCCTAGATTGCTTAGACCGAGCAAAAAACGCTTACCAACGTTAAATTACATGAGAATATAGCTCTAGTCCTAACCTGAGTTTCATGCTTACGTGATTTTCAGACAACTTGAACGGGTTATTCTTTCATTCATATATATATATATATATATATATATATATATATATATATATATATATATCCTTAGGTTTACCCATACGGATTACCTAGTTTTTTTCATAAAGTACATATATATATATATATATATATATATATATATATATATATTGAATAGTGGTATCTTTGTATCCACTATTTTTTGAGTGCAGAATTGTAAAAATTACGATGTTTATTAAAAACATCCTTGTTAGAAGAGTTAGTGCTAATTCTAAATCAATGGAAGAGAGTATGTGTTTGATAACTGAAGGGGGGAATTTAGATGCACGTATATCGGGTTGGAATTAACCTTCACATATGATTGGAAAGTGTTGTTAGCAAGGTCTAGGGTGACGTCTAGAAAATCCACTTGTATATATATATATAAAGGTACCGTTGCGGCGGAGAGAATTCCTTGTGTGTCGCTTCAGAGAAGGTCCGAATCTCTTCTCTTCATGGTCAGCTTTTTTGGGGATTCGACGGGAGAGTCGACTATATATATATATATATATATATATATATATATATATATATATATATAGTCGACTCCCCGTCGAATTCGACGTATGAGGGTCAAACAGATCAGTTCCCAAGAAACCGACAGCCTGACAACTGCACAAGAGAATTGATTATAGTGGTGAAGGTTTCGTGCAGGACCATCCACACTTTTTGAAGGGCCGAATTCAGAGACCTGGTGCACTAAGCGCCACAAGGACCCCAAACGACCCTCCGCAGGTTTTGAATTCACAGTTGTCCTTCTCCTAGACCAGTTGCCATCCATGGTTATAGAACCCAGTCTGTCCTGCTATTTTACCCATAGCTGGAAGGAGAAGAAGAGGATTCACACCTTTCTCAAGGGTATTAGCATGTAATGGATTCGACTGGAATTCGAACTCAGTTCTTCGATTCCTCAATCCAAGCCTCCATATATATATATATATATATATATATATATATATATATATATATATATATATATATATATATTAGTTTCATTAAAGACATCTGATAAGGTATTACGATTAAGCTTGTTATTTAATTTTTCTTGTGTTTGTATAAATGATTTCTTTTCTGGATCTAGTGTAAAAATTGTCCAAATGATAAGCATATTTTTAGCCATTGTCAGGGATTATCTGTATATTTATTTTAAACTTAATGTATGGATTTTCTATCTCGAGAATTATGGGATGTAAATGCATAGGATAGAAAATAGCTTTATTTGCATAACTAAGCAATTTAATGATAGATAGGACACATGATATGAGGCGGTCTCTGATTGGCTAATTAAACCACGTGGATTTGGAAAAAGCTGACCATGAAGAGAAGAGATTCGGACCTTCTCTGAAGCGACACACAAGGAATTCTCTCCGCCGCAACGGTACCAGTTACCAAGTTTAAGGATACAAGTTGTCTGTCCATATTTCACTCCACCAGATTAGTATTTACGCTTGACATATTCTCTCTATATAAGAAGGGACATTGTGCTTACGTTAATCGTGATATTCATGTTTGTAAACGTAAATAAACAACTTTATTAAATGTTAATAAAATTTTCGATTTCATTCTTATTCGTGTTCAGCCCAAAGTAATGTAGGACGGGCACATTAATACAACAAGCGGAGCCATGCCTACAGCACCCGATATTCCCAAATGGTTAGCCATCTTAGATACTGAAAAGGTTCGAAAATACATAACTTCGGTGACTGAACGAAAACCGGTGTTTCAATGTGATATGGACGTAAGCATATAATTTAGTAAAAAAGGAAAACTTTCCTTTACCGGCACGTTTTGTCTACTGAGTGACTTCATAAGGGTAAACGTAAATGTTTTATTTTGCAACCTGTATTTATAATAATAAAATATTCTAAAAGTTAACTATGTAAGAAAAGGTAAATTACGAAGGGCAATAAGTGATGTCTTATCGTTTGGTTCAAATTTCTCCCCAGGCTTTTGAACTGGAGTAGAGATTTATCCCTTGTTTCCTGTTTAGGATTGGGTATCCAGTTCCTTCTAAATTCTACTTCAACTCTATACTTCTAAAATCTCCACCTAAACTCTGAAATCTTATTTATTTATTTCCTTCCTTCAGTAGGAGTAGATAGGTTTTTTGAGTAGCAGTAGAGGTTTATCCCTTGTTTCCTGTTTAGGATTGGGTTTCCGCTTCCTTCTAAAGTCTACTTAGTCTATACTTCTAACGTGTAGAGGGTGCAAAGAAGTCCCTCAAACAAATAATAAAAAGAAAATGCACTACAAATAAAGTAAAATAAACTTTTGTTTATTTTTGTAAAGAATTATTTTTTTTCTTGTACAAAAATGAAATTGACCGTAAAGCTGCGGAAGAAAAAGAGAAAGAAAGGAACTGGGAATGTGAGAGGGAAAGGTAGGACTATGTGTAGCGAGCGAGATGAGAGAAAGAGAGGGTGAAAGAATGTTCACTGATACGTGATACTGCCTGTTGTGTGAACTGATGAATTCTCTCGGTGTGTGTGTGTGAGCTCGAAACTGTCCGTGTCGCTTTGATGCCAGCTTGTCGCTGTTCTCTCTCCGTTCTGATGAGAGTTTCTACCTTCCTTATATAACAATGATGAGGCTCCGGGGAGATTAAGAAATGGGTTTCTTATGTCGAGTCCTGATTGGTCAATAAATCATATTTTTGACCACGTGGTGTGCTTTTCACTACGTCCGAACTTTTGGGTGCGCCGTCCTTGTTTTTGACACCACAGGGCATGGTAAGGAATGAATTCCCGCGCAATTGTATTTTTTGATACACGTGGTGTGAATTAATTTTTATTGTGTGTATGTGTGTGTGGAAAAATAAGAAACAGCACAAACGTCTCCACCTAAACTCTGAAATGTTATTTATTTATTTTCTTCCTTCAGTAGGAGTAGATAGGTTTTTTGAATAGGAGTAGAGATTTATCCCTTGTTTCCTGTTTAGGATTGGGTTTCCGCTTCCTTCTAAAGTCTACTTCAAGTCTATACTTCTAACATCCCCACCTAAACTCTGAAATGTTATTTATTTATTTTCTTCCTTCAGTAGGAGTAGATAGGTTTTTTGAGTAGGAGTAGAGATTTATCCCTTGTTTCCTGTTTAGGATTGGGTTTCCGCTTCCTTCTAAAGTCTACTTCAACTCTATACTTCTAACGTCTCCACCTAAACTGTGAAATGTTATTTATTTATTTTCTTCCTTCAGTAGGAGTAGATTGGTTTTTTGAATAGGAGTAGAGGTTTATCCCTTGTTTCCTGTTTAAAATTGGGTTTCCGGTTCTACTTAAACTCTATACTTTTAATGATTGTGCTTTCTTTAGCTAATACAACTCCACACAATAACTCTATCTTGAGTGGTTCTTGGGCCTTGAATTTGGTGAATATTATTAAAAAAACTAATAAACGAAAGTGGTAAATGTTGCTATTTTTTATATATCTGATTTTTTTTATACACACACACACACACACACACACACATATATATATATATATATATATATATATATATATATATATATATATATATATATTTTAAAAAAGAAGAGAGAAACTGCACGTTTTGATTTTAATGTCGATTTTTTTAATTTTATGCTTTATTTTCCATAATTTTGCTACACATGATTCTGGTCTCGCGACCTTCATCAGGCAAAGCGTGGAGATTTCCACATATTATTAAAAATATTTAATTTTTCCTTTATATTTTTCGATGTTAAATATTCTCGATATGAGACGTTCTCTTTTTTGTGTGTTAGTGACCCAAATGTCTTTCTTGAACTGGCAATGAAAAGTTCTTCGTGAAGGCTTATAAAACAATTAAGATTGTTCCGACAAATGGTGAAGGAGTTATCGGCATTCTTATCTTTTAATGCCCTTGTGTGTTCTTTGATCTATTTCCATTTTCTTGATTTTTTGTTTTTTATTTGTCGGCATGCGTTTATATATGTATATTCCCTTTCCATACATACACACTGTCTTATTGCGAGGAATTAGTAAACACATTTGTACACACACACACACACACACACACTTCCTATGCTGTGTAGTGTTCCCGTTGTTTTTGCCAATATGTGTATATATATATACCAGCATGCGCATATATCATCAGTGTGATTAGACATCCGATCGCTTCAAGCCATGACTGAAACCCGACCGATATAGATAGATAGAAAGAACAAGAATATAACAATATATATAATCTATATAATACTAAAACTCTAATACACATGTATGTATGTATGTATGCATGTTTATTTTCGAGATACATTTAATAGCCCAACAAATTTAGAAGCATATTTTACAGTGAACTCCTGTCAAGTGTAATGTTAAATTAAAATTAGGCCAAAAGTTCCTTGAACTCGGGCCATTTTTCTGTTTTAACAGTATATTTTTTTAATACACAATCTGTGTAGATAAACAAACACTTGCATATTATATTCCAACTATTATGTGTGTGAAAAATAATAAACATTCATAATACATTATAACAACATTATTAAATAAATTTAAATATGCATAACATAACATAAATTTTATTTATATAATTCACTACTACATGACATGTAAAATGTGAGTAATAATTATTACAATCACTTGTATTGCAAATACAAATTAAAATCAGTCTGTCTGTAGATGACTAATACATACATACATACATATATATATATATATATATATATATATATATATAATTATTATTATTATTATTATAAAATTTGGGCTCTACTTTTGTATTGGGCACGGTTTTTTAAAAATAAAAACAAAATACTAAAGAACTTCGGATTATTTACCTAACGTGTTCTTCTTTCCTATTTTTCTATATATTTGCACACACATACACACGTGTATATATATGAAGAAGGCGCCATAGTTTGTTTTTTTTTTAACCCAAGTACTTTCGATCATATTCAGGGGCAAATTGCAAAGACAACCTTATTGTAACTGCAATAAAATCTGCATGATGTTGTGATGGGGACTTTTTAAAAAAATCTTCTTCTTGCTGCTGCTCCTATTATTAATATTATTATTATTAATATTATTATTATTTTTATTGTTGTTGTTGTTGTTTTTGTTGTTGTTGTATGAGTAAATACTCTTGGAAAAACTATAAATCCAACTGTTCTCCCTCCAGCTATGGGTTAATTAACAAGACTTCTATCACTAAACCATTACCCCACCGAAAAAAATTTTTACAACCTAAGAAAATATTTCCTGGCTTTAAATAACCTGCAAAGGTTGATAAGTCGTAGAAAGCGAACCAATCAATAAATTGAATAACCCACAAAGAGTTGATAAGTTATCAAAAAAACAAAAAAAAAAAACAAATCAATCTACTTACTCGACTGGTTGTTAACTTTCTAGTGAGTTCGGTTAAGTTGTCTCTGATAATGACAAATAACGGCTCACTGTTTTTTAAAAGATGAAACAACTATGCTAGATAGGTGACCGCTTGAGAATATCAGGTGCTGTAAGCATGGATGTGCGGGTGGTAGGATAAATAACAGCTCGGAAATGAAAATCGGCGAGCCTAGTTGCGATTTCAATGGGGTTCGTTATATTCACTTAAGCGCAAATACTCTTGTGAAATATATGAATCCACCTTTTCTCTCCCCAAGCTATAGGTTAATTAGTAGGACTTATATCAGTTAATCATGATTATCTCCGAAAGAATTCTTATAACCTTAAAATATTTTCTAACTTAAAATAACCCGCAGTGGGTTAAGTCATAGAAAAACAAATCGATCTAAAATTAATTCGCTCATTTATATAAAAACCAAACTATAAAATATCACTATTTACATCGTTCGAACTGTTCTCTTCATCTTCATTGTTATTTTCACGATGTTTCGGCCGTTATACGCCCCGGCCTTCTTCAGGTGATTTACGTTGGAATTTCGAACTGAACCCTGATATCTCAGTATCAGTCAATTCCCTTTAGTGGCTCAGTGGATAAAAGTGTTGGCTGAGGAATCCAAAAAGTGACTTGAGCCAAAGAGTTTTAAGTTCAATACCTGACTTCAGCAGAGGAAACAAAAACTTGAAGAATTGAGTTACTAAAGCGAATTAACTGATTCTGATATATCTAGAAAAAAAGGCATGTTATTAAAACAATCTATCCCCGTGGATCAAATAAAGCGTTCAGTTCGAAATTCCATCGTATATCACCTGAAGATGGTCGGGGTGTACATCGGCCGAAACGTCGTAAAAATGGCTATAAAGATAAGGACAACAGTTCAAATGATGTAAATAGTGTAAATGGTGACAATACCTCATCTCAGAAATATCAACAGTTAAAATATCACTTACGTTATTTACATTATTCGGACTGTTATTCTCATTTTCATTGCCATATTCACAAGGTTTCGGTCGTTGAAAGTTCCGGCCTTCTTCAGGTGATTGTTCTAGTTCCACGTACCATGCCTCTTCCGGATGTCTCAGTTATTTCCCTTTAACTCAAATAACTGAGACATCCGGAAGTTGAGCGACTATATCGAATCAGTTACGACATCTACTGCTAAGAAAGTTGGTTTACTGTGACGTGCCAAAAGATTTTTCTCGTCAGTATCCATCATGCGCATTTATAAATCTCCCTTTAGACTGTGCATTGAATACTGCTGCCACTGATGCTCCTGCTGTATATCTCATAAGTCTTGGCAAAATCCAAAGAAGGATCTGTAATGTAATTGATCCTGACCTGGCATCTCGACTTCAGTCACTTTCTCATCGACGTAATATGGTTTCTCTCTGTCTTTTCTACAAATATTTTCATTACAACTGTTATGAGCTTCCCCCCCCCCAGTGTATTGACTACATGAATTTAAGCGTGCTACTAGATTGGTAACTACGTCTCCCCACTGTTGTTAGTTGTAACAGCTACTTCAATTCTAATAGTTTCTTTTCTCGTACTTCTCACTTGTGGAACTCTCTTTCTTGCTTCCCTGATAACTACAATCTTCAAAAAAATTTTTAATTCGTCGTCAATCGCCATCTTCTGTCTTTTGAGTCCTGTTCTTTTATTTTCCTTTGATCAACCCTTCTCACTAAAGTGTCCTCGTTGTCTTTCACTCCCTGAACCCCCGGCGTTGTAGTGCTTGGGGTGAAACGATAAAAAAAAAAAACGGTAAAAAGTAGGCTTGTTTGTCTTTGCTCGACAAAGAAATACTTAACTGAAAAGGTGCCGTGACAATGTCATATCCAGTACTGAACTCTGGATGGGCGCTCGTCAGACTTTATCTGTTTTATGTTAACATTATCAGCAGAAGATATGACTTCTTGAAAAATAGTGTCAGGAAGTTTTGCGTAAGCAACCACACATCGCGTTGGTAAAAAGTGTTTCAAAATCATATGATAAATCTTGATAAATCTGAAGTGGTCCAATCATACAAAGAAAAGCAAACGAAAACATTAATGTCGGACGGTGCATCAAAACACAAAACTATTTTCATTTTT